TCTCTCTCTCTCCTCCTCTCTCTCTCTCTCCTCTCTCTCTCTCTCTCTCTCTCTCTTCAGTGTTTATCATCTATTCTACACACCACTTTCGTTCTCCCTTTGTACCTGTAAACACACACTTTCCTTTTTAATATAACTTTCACTCATAGTCTAAAAGCTTTACCAATTCTTCAGTCACTCACTCTGGTCTTTCATACCCCATCCTCTCTGTGAATTACCCTCTCCTCCACCCAAAAATTAACTTGCTAGTCCGTTCAATACACCCCTCAAAATACACCAATTCACCTCATCCCTCCTGTGTACTTTCTCCCCAGTATTTCATTTCCATCTCATTCCAAGACCTACCACCTCACTCTCTCTCTCCCTCATCTCTCCCTTCCACCATCCTTCATATTGTCTATCTTCACCATTCTGTCCTCCATATTCCGTCAATTTGCCTGTCCTTGAAATCAGTCCATATTTCACTCTACAATCACAGGTCAGCCGCACTTCCATTTAGCTCTTCCCTGTAACCAAGCCATTATATTTACTGTACAGACTCTTATGATACGTACAAACAATCATAAACAATCACTATCGAACCAAGACTCATAGTAACGCCATCCTAACTGCCAACAGCCAATAAATAACTACCAAACTGTATATACAAACGCTTGTTAGTGGTACCCTTGAAATAAACAAGTTCTCTGTGAGCCATAACATCAGTGTATAACTCCTCGGTGTTCCTTAACCTCTCTAGTAAATATTGAAGTGTAAATATGATTACTGACAAAGGAAAGACAGGACACGTAAACAAGGTGGGGTCGATAAGTAACAACAATATCATACTGTATTAGGTTAGGTTAGGTTTGGTTTAAGTGAGATACTGTACAGGGTTGATATTGGATACATATTCGCTTGAGTGGTTCTTAGGGCCGAGAACTGTAAAGATTATAAGACAGAAAACATTAAATTTGACTTAGGGGTATCAAAAAATCAATGTTTAATTTTCTGCTCCACAAGGTACATTAAAATAACTCCTCCTCCCTCCTCATCACTCCAGTAACTGCTTGTGACAGCAAACAAAACTCATCAGATTATAATATACAAAACAAAATTCCTCGTTATCCCGGCAGGTGCCATAGAGTGCCGGTGATGACCTGACACAGAGTGTTGAGTTACCTATGGCCCGACGCTCCTAATTCTTATGGTCTCAATTTACATAACTCACCACCAATGGCCACAGCCCTCCACTAATTATTAAGGGTGATTAAGGTGGGCAAGGGATGAGGCCACAACTAGTCTATTACCCAATGGTATTATTGTTTGCAGTGCTGGTGTGGTGGTGTGCTATATTAAAGTGTGTCGTACATATCGTAAAAATATTTCTGTATAATTAATTTATTGTGGGAATGTGGTGGTGAGTGGTGGTGGGGCTATATTCCATGATTGAGGACATTATTTGTGACTGTCAGTATCTGGCAGCGTGGTCACTAATATATATGTTATTGTGATAATAGTTTTATCTTCGTGTTGGTGGGTGGTTGTGTGGTGGTGCCTGTGTGGTGGTTACATGGTGGTGGTAGTGATGGTGTTGGTGGTTGCCAATATTTTGTTATATTTTGCCATTAATGTGTTGTTGCTATTAGGGGTGCGCCATTGTTTATTGGCCCAACACTATAAAAGGCTTAGGAAAAATGATAAGAGATACAGAAAGAGAGAGAGAGACCTATCTACTGAAGTTTAGTGACGTAAATTTACAGTGGCAGGACAAACAAGGTTAATATTTATCCCAGGATGATGGTGTAGAACAAAGCAGGGAGGCTCATGATTCCGCTGCCATAATGGAGGTGTTAGAGAGCATGCCCCCCCTCCCCTCCATTACCTCCCTCACAAACCTCCTCTCCCCTACCTCTCCTCTCTCATAGGCCCTTCTCCCCATCTCCTCTTCCTCCTCCCTACCTCTTCACCTGCTCCCTATCTCCTCTCCTATTGCCTTCCCCTCTTCCCCCACCTTCCCTCCCTATCCCCTTCCTTCCCCATGCCTCCTCCTCCACCTCTTCCCCTACACCTATTTTTCCTACCTCCTCTCTCTATTGCCTTCCCTACCTCTTCCCCCACCTTCCTCCTATCCTCCCCACTTCCTTCCTCATGCTTCCTCTTCCTCCACCTCTTCACCTATTTCCTACCTCCTCTCATGCCTTCCCCCTACCTCTTCCCACCTCCTCTATCACTTCCTCCCCTCCTCTTCCTCCCCCCGCCCTATGAGTCTACGTTTTCTAATTATAATTTTTCCAGTCAGCGGTCCCGGAGTCTTAAAGGCTCGTACGATATATAAGTTGCTCTAATTGAAGATATATGAACGTACGTAAATAGCTGACTTAATTCAAGACATAAAACTAGCCCTAAGAATAGCACCAACATACTCACTGGAGATAACATTGATGGAATAGCTTACATAATAACTGTTTGGTGATGAAGGTAAGGTAGAGTCATTAGTAAAGATGGCCGCTATGTGGTGCTAAGTAGGGGTATTTAGTGGAGTAATGACTCACTGTAATGTTATTTATAGAGTGTTGATGTAGTGGGTTAGTTTAGGTTAGGTTAGGTTAGGTTAGGTTAGGTTAGGTGCCAATTTACGTAAATTTTATGTATTGTGACTAAGATAAACATTCAACGTAGGAACCGTAGGGATGTGACCAACAAGATTTACCTCACCTGTCGTCACAACAGTGTAATGCTAACTCCCCAAATCCCAACTATGTTATTTACAAACACAAGTTCTCCACTTCTAAATGGGTGAAAAATTAACTCATAAGTTTTATACTTTTATAATATTTAATGAAACCTCATACTCCTCCATCACAATAACGGCCTCTACAAAATTCGTGAGTAAAACTATAATTTTTATTTACTAATTGTAACTCTAAGTTTCGAAATGAGTGAAAAGAGTAATTCTAAACAATGTTTTTGTGTTTCATTTCTCGCCCAGTTAATTATATATATATATATATATATATTTGTTCAGTCAAAAATAATTTCTTCCATGGAATCTGGTACAATGTACAATTTGGCTACATCACTGCTACGAGCTCAACAGCCGCTGAAACTGAACGAGTGAATAATGAACTGCTTAAAGTGACACATAGAGAGTCCTGGATGTCATTAAATGAGCTGACCACACTCTCTTCATCCGACTCTCCTGATCACCAAAACGACCCTGAACACGGGACCATACCTTACATCATCCAACACTCTCAACACTTTATTTACAAACACAAACAACAACACACACTTGAAAATCAATGAAAATTACGTGCTTAAAGTAGACAGACACACGGACAAACTCCCTGCGTGTGATACAATCGGGAAAAACAAGCGAAACAATACGGACAAAAGTCAGACTGTTCAATACTCGGACCTGTAGTGCCCCCTCATTGTCGACCCAGGCCCGGGAGCAGGAACGCGCTATACTCCACCACCCCATAAGGTCGATACTCTCCTTCTCTCTTTCCCTGGGAGCTTCGGCATTAATGAGTTGGAACTAATCGTCCTAAATCTCTCTCTCGTTAGGAGGACAAAATGTAGTCATTAGCAATTCTCAGTTTCGATTGCTGACTGCATGTTTGTTGAAATTTCACTGTCGAGGCTGTGATTGTCATCGAGTGTTTAGTCAGAGTCGCTGGACGCTGTGCTCCCTAAAGGTTTCGGCCTGAAGGATTTCCTAAGCTAAACTAATCAGGCTTCAATACCCGGAGGCCCGAAATGTCCCGAGTCTGAGAAGACTTCGAATCGTCCTGAGATCGACCTTACTTGGCCCGAATCGTCTGAGGCCTGAATTTCCTGGGTCCCAATCGCCTGGGCGAGTCACGTAAGTACCAATCGCCTGGGCCCGAGTCACTAAATACCAATGGCCTGGGCTCCGAACTACCTGACTCAAATCACCCTAAGCCAGGTAGTAAAAAAAGTACAGAAAATACAGAAAACATTGATAGTAGTCGTGGTCAAAGATAAATTACAATTAAGAGAGCGCATTAACAAGTTTGACTTTGTATAAGAGTTAACAAGGTAGTATAGATGTGCTGTAGGTTAGGTTAGGTTAGATTAGATTAGGTTAGGTTAGGTTAGGTTAGGTTGGGTTAGGTTAGGTTAGGTTGGGCTGTGATAGATGGATGTATAGGTACAGCTCAAGAGATGTATGGTGGTGGTGGTGAAGCGACACATGTTCCTCTCTACTCCAGTGTTGTGTTGACAGTATCGATTGGCTGGTGGAGGACTGGCCAAGGGAGAGTGGGAGGCGGCATGTGGAAGGGAGGAAGGGGGTATGTTAGGGTCAGTACAATACTGTTTGGGAAGGGAGGTAAATAGGGAGGAGTGGGGGGGAGGGAGGAAGAGAAGGTGAGATGATGAGAAGAGATGGAGGAGGACGCGAGAGGATGGAGAGGGAGGGAGGAGTGGGATAAAGGGCGTAAAGAAGGCGGGGGAAGGGGGCGAGAGGGAAAAAAGGCATGAATGGAAAGGAAGGAGGGAGGAAGGACGGGAAAAGAGGATGAAAGGGCTAAGCGGGCGTGGGGAGGGAGGAGGAGGAAGAGGGTGGGAGGGAGCGATGCAGGAGGTTGAGGGAGGTAGGCCACTCACATGTCCTGGAGCAACAATGGAACAGTTCTCTATATACAGGTGTATCTTTACAACAATGTAGATTCACTAAGAATACACGTGTGCAGGTGTACCACAATGGAACAGCTCTCTCTCTCTCTCTTTATGAACCAGTAAGTTGACGGCTTCATAAACGAATAAATATCAAAATAAACTTTCTATAAAGGCACAAAACCTAACCTAACCTAACCTTGCTTACAACCTAACTAACCTAACCACACCTAACCTAACCTAACCCTAACCTAACCTAACCTAACCCTAACCTAACCTAACCTAACCTGATTACCTTGTTAACAATTCTCTTTAAACTGCCTTCCAACTTAGCCACCCAACCTGTGTACCACACGACCTGTGTGCCATACGGCATGGTACCACACGACCTGTGTACCATACAACCTGTGTACCACTTACCGGCATACCATACGCGTGAGTACCATACGACCTGTGTACCATACAACCTGTGTACCTACGACCATGCGCTGCCATACGACGTGAGTACTACGACCTGTGTACATGCCGCCACGACCTGTGTACCATACGACCTGTGTACCATCGACCTGTATTACATAGAACCGTGTGCCATACGACCTGGTAATGCTTGCATACGACCTGCCGACGCCGTGATGCCATACGACCTGTATACCTACGACCTGTGTACCATACAACCACCATGTACCCCCATTACGCCTTGTGCTACCACGACCACCAATATTGCCGCCACAACCTGTGTACCATACGACCTGTGTACCATACGTGAGCCACACGCCGACCACCATATTGCGCCACCTGACCTGTGTACCGCCCACGACCTGTGTACCATACGACCTGTGTACCGCCCGACCTGCTGTACCATACGACCTGTGTACCATACGACCTGTGTACCATACGACCTGTGTACCACGCCACGACCTGTACCTACGACCTGTGTACCCATACCATGCCCACGACTTACGCACCGCCGACCTACCATGTACCACCCGACCTGTACCATACAACCTGTGTACCATACAACCTGTGCTGCCATACAACCTGTGTACCATACGACCTTAGTGACGCCGCGTTGCCATTGACGCCGCCACGACCTGTGTGCCATACGACCTGTGTACCATACAACCTGTGTGCCATACAACCTGTGTACCATACCTGGACCACGACCTGTGTACCACACGACCTGTGTGCCACGCCCGACCGCCTGCCATACAACCTGACCCCGCCAACTGTACCATACGACCACCAGTGTGCCGCCTGACCACCATGTACCACCGCCACGACCTGTGTACCATACGACCTGTGTTGCCATACCAACCTGTGGCCGCATACAACCACCAGCCATGCCATACGACCTGTTTACGCCGCGCAGTAGCGCTACCATACAACCTGTGTACCATACAACCGTGTACCACCACGACCTGTGTACCATACAACCTGTGTGCCACCCAGCCTGTGTACCCAACCTGTGTACCACACGACCTGTGTACCATCCACGACCTGTGTACCCACACCCAGTATGTGCCATACAACCTGTGTACCATACAACCTGTGTTACCACCAGACACTGTGGTACCATACCAACCTGTATTGCCACATGACCTGTGCCCGCTGACCTGTGTGCCGCCTGGCACAATCAATGCCATACAACCTGTGTGCCGCCTGCTGTAGACGCCGCCTACAACCTGTGCCCCATACAACCTGTGGCCGACCTGACTACCATATTGCCGCCGCAACCCACTATTGGCGCCATACAACCTGTGTACCAACGACCTGTGTACCCCTGCTTCACCGACGCCCCTGACTGTGGCCCTCATCCAACCTGTATTCCATACAACCTGTGGCCTGCACGCTACATTATACAACGCCATACAACCTGTGTACCATACAACCTGTGTACCATACAACCTGTGTACCATACAACCTGTGTAAATTAAGACCCATATACAACCTGTGTACTATACAACCCAAATGACGTGTGTGTACCATACGACCTGTGTAAACTATACGACGTGTACTACACCTGTGTACCAGACTGCAAAATGTACAACCTGTACCATACAACCCTGTACCATACACAACCCAAAATTATATATAATCTGTAATATACGACGTAAAATACAACCAAAATATATAACCCCAATACAACCTGTAAAATTACAGACCTGTAATTATACAAATCTTGTAAAATATACGACCTGTGTACCATATTGACTAACTATACACCTAAATACAAACCTGTAAATACAATCTAAAATTCATAACCTATATACCATATACAACCTGTGTACCATACGAGACCTAAAATTACATGACCTAACTTGTGACCTAAATTACATGACCTGTGTACCATACAACCTGTGTTACCAAACCTGTGTACCTACAGACCTGTGTACCATACGACCTGTGTACCATACGACCTGGTAATTATACCCGACCTGTGTAACCATACAACCTGTGTACCATACGACCTGTAAATTATACAACCAACAATACACGACCTGTGTACCATACGACCTGTGTACCATACAACCTTGGTAATCATACAACCATTGATACGACCTGTGTAACCATACGACCTGTGTACCATACAACCTGTGTACATACAACCCAGTACCATACAAACCTGTGTACTATACGACCTGTGTACCATACAACCTGTGTACTATACAACCCATGTAATTATACGACGTAAAATTATATAAGACCTGTAACCATACAACCTGTGTATCATACAACCTGTGTAACCATACAACCTGTGTAATTATACAACTGTGTACTATACAACCTGTGTACTATACGACCTGTGTACCATACAACCTGTGTACCATACAACCTGTGTACTATACGACCCTGTGTACCATAACAACCTGTGTACCATACAACCTGTGTACCATAACCTGTGTGACCATACAACCTGTAAAATTATACAACCTAGTAATCTATACAACCTAAAAATTATGCTGCAACCCATAAAACATACAACCTTGTAAACTATACAATTTGTAATTATAATGATGTGTAATTATACAACCCATGTGGAATATACAACCTGTGTACCATAGATGTGTGTACCATACAGACGTGTGTACCATACAACCTGTAAAATATACAACCTGTGTACCATACAACCTGTAAATTATACGACGTGTACCATACAACCTGTACCATACAACCCAGGTACCATACAACCTGTAATTCCATACAACCTAAAATTATACGACGTGTGTACCATACAACCTGTAATCATACAACCTGTGTACCATACAACCTGTGTACCATACAACCCAAATTACATACAACCTGTGTACATACGACGTGTGTACCATACAACCTGTGTACCATACAACCTGTGTACCATACGACCTGTGTACTATACAACCCAAAATTATACAACCTTGTAAAATTATACAACCCTGTACCATACGACGTGTAATCATACAACCTGTAGAACTATACGACCTGGTAATTATACAACCCAGTAATCATACACCTGTAAACTATACAACCTGTAAAATTACATAACTCAAAATACAGACGTGTACCATACAACCTGGTACCATACGACCCTGTAATTATACAATCTGTAAAATTAGAACATGACGTGTGTACCATACAACCTGTGTACCATACAACCTGTGTAACCATACGACGTGTGTACCATACGACGGGTACCATACGACGTGTAACCATACAACCTGTGTAACATATGTTAACCTTGTAGAACCATACAACCTAAAATTATACAACCTGAAAATTATGTACAACCTTGTACCATACGACGTGTACCATAGAACCTGTGTACCATACGACCTGTGTACCATATAAACCCAAAAATGCCATACTACGTAAACATACAACCTGTGTACCATACAACCTGTGTACCATACGACGTGTGTACCATACGACGTGTAATTTACACGACGTGTGTGTACTATACAACCTGTGTACCTATACAACCTTGTGTACCATACAACCTGTAAACTATACAACCTGTGTACCATAACGACCTGTGTACCATACAACCTGTGTACCATACAAACCGTGTAAATACACAACCTGTGTACCATACAACCTGTGTATCATACGACGTGTGTACCATACAACCTAAAATTACACAACCTGTGTACCATACGACCTGTACCATACAACCTGTGTACCATACAACCTGTACCATACAACCCAACCATACAACCTGTGTACTGCCACGACGTGTACCATACGACGTGTGTATCATACAACCTGTGTACTATGTACAACCTAGTATTGTACGACGTGTAATACAACCTGTGTACCATACAACCTGTGTAAATATGCAACCTAAATATACGACGTGTAATTATACAACTATTATACGACCTGTGTACCATACGACCTTGTACTATGGCCACAAATATACGACCCAGTACCATAACAACCTGTAAAACCATACGACCTGTGTAACCATACAACCTGTGTACCATACAACCTGTGTACCATGCAACCCTGTAATATACGACCTGTGTACCATACAACCTGTGTACCATACAACTTGTAATTATCCAACCTGTGTACTATACAACCCAAAATATACAACCTGTATCATACGACGTGTGTACCATACGACGTGTGTATCATACCAACCTGTGTACCATACGACAAACCTCAAAACTGACCGGGAGACAAGATTCCCATCCCTCAGCCCCTTCCCTCCCTGTCCCCCTTCCCCTACCCCTCCCCTTCCTCAGTATAAAAAAAGAAATGTATAATTATTCACGACCAATATATTCAAAATCCAAACTTGTTTTATCCGACAACATAGAACCCACCACCACCACCACCACCACCATCACCACCACCACACCACACCACCACCACCACCACCACCACCACACACCACCATCACACACCACCACCACCACCACCACACACCACCATCACACACCACCACACACCACCACCACACACCACCATCACACACCACCACCACCACCACCACACACCACCACATCACACACCACCACACACCACCACCACCACCACCACACACCACCATCACATACCACCACACCACCATCACACACACACCACCACACACAGCACCACCAACCAACCACCACCACCACCACCACACCACCATCACACAACCACCAACCACCAACCACCACCACCACCACCACACCACCATCACACACCACCACCACCACCACCACACACCACCACCACACACCACCACACCACCACCCACACACCACCATCACACACCACCACCACCACCACCACACACCACCATCACACACCACCACACACCACCACCACCACCACCACACACACCATCACATACCACCACACACCACCATCACACACCACCACACACCACCACCACACAGCACCACCACACCACCCACCACCACCACCACCACACACTACCATCACACACCACCACCATCACACACCACCACCACCACCACCCCACCACCACCACCACCACACCCACCATCACACACCACCACACCACCACCACACAGCACCACCACCACCCACCACCACCACCACCACACACACCACCATCACACACCACCACCACCACCACCACAGACTACCATCACACACCACCACCACAGACCACCACCACACCACCACACCAACACCACCACACACCACCACCACCACCACCACCACCCACCACCACACACCACCACACACCATCACACACCACCACACACCACCACCACCACCACCACACATTACCATCACACCACCACACACCACCACCACACACCACCACACCACCACCGCCACCACCACCACAGCACCACCACCATCACACACCTCCACCACCATCACACACCACCACCACCACACACCACCACCATCACTCGTCACCACCACCACCACCACCACACAACACCACACACCACCACCACAGCACCCACCACCCCACCATCACCGTCACCACCACCACCACCACCACCACCATCCCACACACCACCACACCACCACCACCATCACACACCACCACACACACCACCACCACCACCACACCACCACCACACACCACCACCACCACCACCACCACCCACCACCACCACCACCATCACAC